TTTTTTTTTTCATTAATATCTTCATTGAATTAATTCCTACTCTGAGCATTCTAATATGTATACAGAGATGAAAAGTAAGGAAAAAGAAAAAAGGGGCTGACTGCAGATCATCTTAATGTGCAGTTCTCTAATTAAGCATGTTATTTTTTGTTCAGCTGCCTAACAAATTTAAAAGCACCAAATTGAAATCACAAGAGGCTTTTTATAGACAGATCCTCAGGAACACAACACAGAGGTTGTATCACTTTAGATTACTTATGAAAGAGTCCCAAATATTCTGAAAGAGTAGCATTACCTGTTTTTGTGTTTGTGCTGATATGCTGTGTTTGGTCTTCACTGAGTATGTTACTGTGCATTATGGCCAACTTCATGGACATCTTCATTTTAGACTTGTCTGTGTTGCAGACGTCTTGGGGTTTGTTCAGTTGCAGCTTTGAAAACCTAATCTGTGCTGCCATGTGTGAGAGAAGAGCCTTTTTCCTGGGAACACTTCGGGAAAAAATACATACTAACCTTTTGTTATCAGTTTTAACATTTAACATGCTTTATTAGACCTGTAGAGTCTGAGATGTTGCAGTTTCTCTGAATATTACAGTCTGACCTTTGAATACATTTTTTGGGATGTCCACTCTTAGAAAGATCAAGATCACGGGTGATGTCTTTCCTTCTTGGCATTGTGTTAACACATGGACTAAGTGCTTCAGTCCAGCAAACTACCAAAGCTCATACTCACCCCGCTCTTGCTGATGATCAGTTAGTTCATTTGATTAGCAGCACCTGATTGTTACTTACCCTTTTAATTCCTATGGAAACAGTAAGGATCTACTTCAGCTTTGTTTTAAGACCTTCTAAGGAGCAGATGCTGTTTTTATTACAACCTGAAAAACTTGAAATAGGGCATACTTTCTTTTCCACATGACTGTACATAGCATACATTGTTACATTTGAAAGGAAAATTGTGTGGCACACGGTCCTGTAAAGATTAAAGAGTACTGTAAATAACAGGGTTGGAGCAGATCTGCTTTTTAAACAGCATGACTCCATTTCTAAATTACCCTGGCCTCTTTGTCTGCATCGTGTCCTGTAAAATATAGATTCATACTGGCACATTATAGACAACATGAAACAATAATTCTGATATTTTTGCCGTGTGCCATTATAGACAAATACCCACACAGCAGACAGGTCTGGCCCGGATCTGGTGTCAAGCCAGCACTGCTGGCTGACGTCTGGCATGGTAAGTGGGCCAGGCCTGGCGTAGATGGCACTGTTTATGTAATGGCATGCCATATCTGGCCCAATTGTGGTGTGGTTTATGTGGCCCAGGCTCATAGAAAACAGGTCTTCCCTGGATACAGCATCAAATTGGCACTTCTGACTGACTGGTGTCATGGTAGGGTGTATGTCAACCAGATGTGGGCCAGGTCTGGCAGTGATGGCACTATTTATATTCCTGTTTTCCTGTTTTAGTTAGAAGACCCAAATGCCATGTTGCAATACTATACTGCTATGGTAGCCAGTGTTTCAAATGCAGGTTTGACAGGTTTGTGAGTGTACACTTTATCCAAAACCTAGTGAGGGTTTACTCATGTTTACCACTTGGTGGCTGTAGCTCAGGAGGTAAAGCAGGTCACCTACTGATCAGAATGCTAGTGGTTCGATCCCTGGTTCCTCCAGTCTGCATGTCAAGAGTGTGAATGTGTATGAATGTAGTTAGGAAGCACTCGGTTTAGAGAAAGTGTGTGATTGGGTGAATGTGGCATGTTGTATAGAGCACCTGGAGTAATCCGGGAGAGTAGAAAAGCGCTACATAAGAATCAGTCCTTTCACTGTCTGAACAGAGTTTCGTCATGTTACTTTTGCGTTATTATGTTCCTGCACATTGTTGTTATTACATGGCTTGATTGAGGTACACATTAGGCTGACATCTGGGGCCAGAGCTGAAACTGTTCTGGGCCAGCAATGGACCAGCAGTGTGTCTGCAACTGGCCTTGTGCTGGCCCATGTATGGGCCACATCTGGCAAACCAGATGTGGGCCACCAAAGGGCCGTCATTCTTTGCGGTATGTGGGCAATGTGTAAGCACATTGTGTGGGCCAAATCCAGGCCATACCAATTTTGCTATGTGGGTAATATTTAGGTCCGGCCATAAAGACAAATACACCACATTTAAGTAAAGTGCAGTAATTTCCTAACTTAGTACATGGAAAGAACATCTTCATTTCAAATAAATGCTGTTTTACCATTTAAACCGTAACATGTAATGACCTAACATAAATATTTCTAATAATAAAAATAATTCTACATGTAGATGCATTTCTTTTCTATTAGCTGGTTCCTAAAGCTGACAGCTAAAACTATGGACTGATTGATTTGGAATCAGGCATTGCTGTATAGACATTAACTGGTCATGTAGATAATGATTAGCTGCAGCCCTAGTTAGATTTCCAGAGTATCTATGCTATAACACGTCACTAAACAAGTGCAGGAGCCTAAAGTAGGAAGGCATGTCTGGTAGAATGTGCATTACATGTTGTTGCAGTCTCCAACTGAGGGTTCAATCTGAGATGCTGAAATTCACCATGAATGAATGGTCAACATTCTCATGAGTGTGTGTGCATGTGGTGTGCACAAACCAGATTGTGAGCTGCAGAAAGGTGGGGGAGAGTCTGAGGAGGAGCTTATTTAGGCTTACATAATGGAAGTGCTAACCTAACCTGACTCTGTGTGTGAGAGAGAGTTGTACAGGCGACACGCTCTCCATTTCTCTCTCTCAGTCGTGCACAGCAGGGGATGAGAGCTGATGGTTTATTGATGCCTAGCGGCTTGTGTTGGTGTATGCATTTTATAGACAGAGTGAGAGGGGAGGCATTGTCACAACACTGCTGTCGTTTAGCGATCTGAAATCCAGCAGTGGTGAGCTGTGTAGGTATGGACATAGCTGCTCTGCATCAGGGTTATTCCAACAACCTCTATTCGCCTCACTACCAGGTAGGATCATTCGTTAGATTTATTTATTTTTTTCAGCACATCAAACTGAGAGGAAAACCTTCAGTGCTGCAGTCATTTTCTAATACAGTAGGATCTCTTGGACATTGTAAGCAGGTGAATGATCCTTGCCTGTGCCTGTAACCTATTGGATAATTTTGTATTTTGTGCTTGTTTGTGTGTCTTCCTGTGTTTATGCATTCAATTTGGACATTATCATAATAGAATTAAAAAACTCTGAAACCCAGCTGCAGTTAATATCACAATGTGTAAATGTGCAAATGGAAACATGCTCTAAAAGGCTAGCATGAGGTTTTTATAATGTATTTATTTTCTTTTTTGTTTCAGCAAAAACATAGACTTCAAAGTCATACTCGTTAATTAATTATTGACTGGCGCTGTTCTAAAGCAGCTGATATCACAGCGCTGTATGTGTCCGAGAAGCGCTTTGAAGCTTCAGGAGTGATTTCAGATGTGTTTGGAATCTCTGCTATGTGACTCAAATGGGAAACAAAAAAAGTTTGCTTGCAGTGAAGTTGAAGGAATAGATCTTTCTGGGGCTTTTATTTTTAGTTCCAGCTCATGCTGCTGTCTGCTTGCCTCTTTGGTCTGCTGGTGTATTTTAGGTATTACCTCTGGTCTCACTCTTAATGACCCAGATATTCTTTTTTTCTTACTGCAGTTTTCTTGAATGCAAACCAAGGAATGCAACGATCATTTGGAACAAGATGTTGAATATATCTGTGTGTTTTGTAGAGCTCAAAAATGTTGTTGGAATTTAAATAAGGGAGAGAAGGAGAGAATCAAACCATAGACACTCGTGTGTGGTCACTGTCTTAACCCCAGCTTTGGGGATTATCCCAGCCAGTAAATACCTTGATAATTGATTAGATGGGGATTCAGATAAATTGACAGTCACTACTTTCAGCTTCTGTGCTTTATGGACTGTTTTTCACCTTTGCTTTCAGTTTTTTTGTGAAAGAAAGATCATAAACATGTCTTTAATAGGACAGGGATTTCTGTTGATATATGGACGAATGAGAAGTGGAGTTTTATTATATTTATTTATATTGTTAACTGACTGTTACATATGCAATGTTATGAAGAAATCCAAAATTAATTATCCAAAATTAAGGGTTTTTTGTTGTTTTTTCTTGCTTCATTCTCTTGGTGTTGAATTCTGACTTTCCTTTTCCTGTTTAAGCTAACTTCTTTGTTTGAGCTATTTATGCATAGCATTTACACAGGTAGGCCAAACACTCATATCCCTCACTAGTGATAAAAAGCCTGAAACGAGACATTCCACACTGAAGTAATGAGGTAGAAGAACAAAACCAAACTCTTTAAAATTGCACAGCATCATTGTTGGAACAAAAACTCCTTTCAGTAATTGCAGCTGTAATTACAGCCAAGATGAAATAAGCATAAATACTCCAGACGGGATCCAAAAATCACTGACCAGCACACAATTGCAATATTTGTTCGTTTCCTCTAGAGAAATAATAATAAGGGTTAGGTGTAATTTTGTATACCTGTAGTCCCTGTATCTTTCTCACCCTCTTTCCTTTCTTCCATCTTGCTCCTCTTCAGCTTGATGCTTTGAAACAGCAGAACTCCAAATATCAGGAAGAGCTCAGTCTGTCAAAAGAGCGGAGCAGCTCAGAAAACCAGCGCATTGGCGTCCTCTGCAAGGAAATGTGAGTACTCGTGATAACTAATGTGTTTTTTCCTGCCTCTTGCCTCCCGTAAAGGTGACCCCCAGCCAGCCAGTTCATTAGTTTGGAGCTGCTAAATTTGTCCTGGGGGCCAAATGTTCATTAAAAATCCAGTCTGCATTTTCAAGCTCTAATTCCGCTCAGTAAGGACTGTGTGAGAATGTGGCTGGACAGTTGTTAGTTGTTACCTTAATGGGTCAAAATACTTTTATTTTTATAGCTGAAATGTCAAATGTGTTGTTGAATTGGCAACATGTGTAACTCTCTAGAGAGATGCTTCCACTTGTAAATATGCTCTAAATTGTTGTGGAAAGTACAATTAGTCAGAGCATGCTGTTGTGTGATAATGGATGTGGAGGACAATGTACAATACTGTTTATAAACACAGCAAAGAAAGCCCATTTGCGTAGTACTCCTTCTATTAAACATTCCTGAATCATGACACCTGACTGGAAATTTAGATTGAGTGTGCATTCATTATCCAGGTTTAAGATCCTTAACTGTACAATCCATGTTCTGGTTTTTACATTTCTGGATGTATATGTTTGCAATGTTTTTGACGGTGTGTCTTCACAGATGCTTAAAAAGTCTGAGAGCCATTTATGTAAAATTAAGGCCTTAACTATACTTAAAAATGTCACAAAATGTGATCCTGAAATATCTTGATTGAATCTGCAGTTTTGTCGACACAGTAATCTCACATGTTTCAAGCAACTATTGGCTGCTTGCTCATTTACATCGGGTCTTCACAGCAGGTAGCTCCACATGTTTGATTCGGCAGATGTTTTATGACAGCTGGCTTTTCTGATGGGATTTACATCGTTTGATTCGTTCGATTGAACTGATTGAACGTGGAAATAATAATCAACCCCTTCTTCCAAAAATAGTAGAGAAGCTGTGTGTGTGAAAATAGTGAAAATGGCACTGTCATGCAGCATCATGAACCTTAGCCACATGATCCTTATATCTTGACTTTTCTCGGCTCATTTAAAACATTATCTGAATTAAAATTGGACATTTTTTTACAGCGTGTTATCTACATTATTAATTCCTTCTATGTGTTCGGTGTTGACATGTAGATGTGGAAAGTCTTTCATTTGCAGTGACTCAGCAGTATATCTTTGATTGTAAGCTGAAACATGGTGCTTTTGATTCAGGATAAAAGTATTCTCTCTTCTTATGGCCTATTTTTTCTTCTTTTCTTTTCTTTTCTTTTTTTTGTTTCTGGTGAAGTTCCAGTCTGCCGCTGAGCTCTATTTATAGAGCTTGCGTTTCTCTCAAGCTGTCAAGTACCTCTGTGTACATGTGTAAATATGTAGTGTGTCCATGCGTGTGTTTTTGGAGCCCTTACATGTTGAGTCATCAGAACCCTTAAATTGCAATGTCAGAGCTCCAGATGGATTTAACTGGCTGGATTATAGTCATCAATATGTAGCATGTAGAGGCAGCAAATGGAGATGAAAAATGTCAACAAATGACATCAGTTACAGTGTAACGGTTCCAGTCTCCTCAAGCACAATTTTGTCTTTTTTTTTCTGCCTTTGCCTAAATAATTGAAAATAAAAGCTCTCTAAATGGATGATTCATGTTACAGTCTTATATTGTTGTTTTACATTTTCTTTCCCTCCACCTCCACCCCGCCTTGTCCCAACAATGTTTTCTGCCATCCTTTTTGAGGCACGTCCTTCCTCACTCTGCTCCTGTTATGTAATCCCTCCTCTCCTCCTAGGACCGCCTGGCTCCGACATGGCTATTTCTCTTGTTGTGACATCAGCATGTGCGTGTGTGTTCTGTGTGTGTGTGTGTGTGTGTGAGAGAGAGAGAGAGACAGCGAGAGAGAGGGTTTTCAGGCTTGTACAGAAACAAGGTGGCTTTGTGCTATGAAAGAACAGCTGTAAACATTGTAGCTCACATACGTGTCATGATTGTGTTATTTTGGTGCTGCTGTAATTTTATCTTTGAAGGCCAAAAATATTGTTCATTAACTTCATTTGGTTTACATATTTTTTTATGCTTTCGTTTCTTTCACTTTTTCTTTTACTGTTAAAACGGTCACACAGGGGGTGTTAAGGTAGAGAACTCAGCTGTAGGCCACCTGTGTTATGGAAGAGTGCAGAAAATTTAATTTGCAGTATAAATAAACAGTTCAGATGATGTTTATATTTGTCACAGCTGTGGGATTCATGAAAGCGAGAGATGATTGTCTGAAATCAGAATCAAAATTAGCTTTGCGAAGAAAGAATTCAGTCATAGTCTTGTTTGAAATAACACTCTTGACAGCAGACACACTACATGAGACATGTCACTTATTTTTCAGGCTGTTCTTTCTTGTAAATAGATGGCTCATTATGTGAGAATATGTATGTCTTCAGAGTGTACTTCTGTATGTCTTTACACTAAGAGAAAGAATACATTTATGGGGGCATTTTTTTCAGGTTTTAGGCAAGTATGCAGCCGTTTTAATGATCCAGTCCAGTTGAGATCAAATTGTGCTTTATGTGGAATATGAATTAAAGTGATCATGCATTTAAATAATCATTGATTTCCTGCAGTGTGAAGGTAGCAAAAGATATTTAGATCTGTAAGCAGGGTCTGTTTGTCTTTTATCTAAAGCAGGAGTGGAAAACTCATTTTACATCATGCCCTATTTTTTACTATCTAAAAAAATGTATTGTAGAATTAGAATTTAGAAATATAATTTAGAATAGATATTCTATTGTTAACAATGACAAAAAAATAGTTTGCTGTTATTCAACTGATTACATTTGCCCACAATTTTGCCCGCGTAAGTGTACAACCCAGGTCTCACTGTGTAGCAAGTAAAATCCAAGTCATTGCACCTTGTTGGGCAGCTGTGGCTAAGGATAGATCCCAGTGTGAGCATACCAACATACAGTGACAGTGCTAACCTGCTGATATTTAGCAGGTGAAATGTTGACATTTTCCTCATCTCATTTAATTATTTTAGCATGTTAAAATGAATAATTAGTACCTAACACAAAGCACAACTGGAACTGAGACGAGAGGTTTGTGATGTCCTCTGAACACAGAATATGCAAAAAGAACTGCACAGTGGAGCGCACTGTTGTGTTAGAGTGCAGGATGCTATAGAGGCATGGGGAATGTAATTATACTGCAGACAGCTAAATATTTCACCCAGATGGTGCTGTGATTGGGCTATTAGTCACACATAGCTTCAGAGTTTTAACTTTGACACAAATCCTAAGAATGACCCACATGGGGCTAAACTCATTTTCCTGAACGAATCATTTAGTTCCGGCATCCAAAAATATCCAGATTCATAAATTCCCTGACAACACTGTCTATGCTGCTGTCTTTTTTATATAGTCAAATAGTGTAGTGTAGGTAGGTTAGTTGTATAGCACTGCAGTATATAAACTACTTCTTTAAAATAGGACTGTGTCATGAGTGAATGTAGGCAGCAGACACAGAACAACACGTGTCTTTCTAAGTGATGAGAGCTAATATGTAGATTAGCTCATCACGTTTCACTACTTTAAGATTTAGGATTGTTGTGCAAAATGTTTGACTTTTTTGGTTATTTTTTAAGAAACTACTAAACTAATAAATGTCAAAGATCAGTTTCATCACAATTATGGCTGTATAAAAATGGTCTGTATATACAGCATATAATGTACACTGACAATCTCACATTCAGTTTACACTGAAGTCAGGTCAGTGGTCAGTGGCCATTGCTCTTGGCACAGAGGGTTGTTCATTTTAGTTGTATTTTGTATGTAAGCTAAATCTACTGAGCTAAACTAAACTAAGCCTGATCTCTTTATATCAGAGAATATCTTAACATAGATTATGTACATTTTAGAAAATGATACCACGGTGGTGGATCATCCTTTATACTGTCAATATCTTGAACTGTGCCTCCCAAAAGAGATTTCAGAGACCGAAGAAGTCACTTGGATGAGTGACGAAACGTTTCTCTCACTGAAAATCGTACATCTAGATGAACAGAATCAACCTTTTGGGATTTACTTACCTGGATGATTGAGCATACATCAAAACATCTTAAATTGTGGTGGCCCTCTGCCTCCCTATATTTGTACTGCTAACTTCATGACCATTAATATGGTAAATCAGAATCAGAATCAGAATACTTTATTGATCCCTGGGGGAAATTATCCCTGGGGGAAAGCCTCACCCAGGCCCAGAGAGCTAGGTTCATGAAAGAGCTTCTGAAAATTTTCTGTGCTGCTTTTGTGGGAGGGTCAAACAGCACTCTCTGATCGTCCCTGCTCAGACATCACAGACATAGAAATAGCTTTTCTAAAGTCTGAGAATGGTTTCCAAATATAAATCCATCGTGTTTTGAAACAATCCATTTGAAGTAATGATTAACTTTTTTTTAAAGTCCACTGAGCATTTTTACAGATATCTCTTATTTAGTGACAGTTATAGACATGAACTGAAAGTTCAGAATTTTAATTCAGAAATAGGAAAATAACAATTGTCCGAATATCACATCTGGGTAGAAAAGCTGAGTCCATGAGCAAGTTGAGTTTTCATAGTTGGCTCAGACATGTCTGAATAACAGCTGGACACTGCTGTAGAGATTTTTGTAATCAGTAAAGAATAGAAGAAAGAAGTTAGTGAGGTGTTTACACAAACTGCACATGACCGCAGTTCCTGTAGTGGAGGCCAGCGTGTTCTTAGGGACATACTTTTTTGGTTTCTCAGCAAGACCAATGAAAGAACGCTGTATGAAAGACTGCACTGAAGTTTGTAGAAAAGAAGATGGCCTGAATATGATGTAATACTTAAGCTCTTTGTAGCTGTTTCTACACATTAACTCCAGCCCTGAACTTTTCTATGGTTTACCACACAGAGATGTGTGCAAATGTAAATGTCAGCCACATTCAAATTAGACTAAGTTGAAAACTATTCTCTAAAAAAAATGGGTTATCTTCTCAAAGTTTTGGCTCACTCAGTATCTGGAAATTTCAAATAGTAATCAGCTACAACTGTCTGTGTTGTTAATTGTTAACAATCCAAACTGGTGAGTCATGCAGTTGTTATGATGGAAGGTGTTGATTTTTGACTGCTAGCATATAATCAGCTTTTAGCAGTTTCACATTGGCTTTATTATTTTCAGGTCAAGATCCATCAGCGGCTTTGCACTTTAATGTACTATCACATTAGCCTCAGAATCAAGCCTGTTGCCTCTGGTTGATGCCATATGTAGCTCTCAATCACCATTTGGGTTGGCTGCTTGGGCAGTGCATCTCCTGTAGAGAGATGCGATTTAATGGGAGAACATGTACAGCTTATAAAACAAACAGCAATATGAATGTCTCCTAATAACCCCTGTGTGCCTTTATTTACTTTAGATGTTGTGTGATCATATTATAGTCTTTAGATTAGGGAGTGTCAGCTGGCAAGGACATCTGTGTCTTTTGAGAGTTGAAGGGAACTAATGGGTGCTCAACATGAACATTTCATCATTGAAA